TTTGTATTTTGTATTTTAATCTGGAATGATATCCGATTGATTTATCCAGTACCTGTAGGCTTTCACCTTATTTTTTCTTAGGCATTTTTCCTCCATGGACATCAAAATACATTTTCTAAATAGCGAGGAAGAGTTTTGTGGGTTTAGGGGTTTTATTTTGGTTTTGTTGGGGTTTGTTTTGGGGGTTTTGTTTGTTTGTTTGTTTTGGGTGTTTTAAGTAAAAGAAATCATCCTTATTTCGAGTAGTTTGTGGATAAACCTACCTTTGATGTTGCTGTTGTACCCAGTATGGAAGCGAACCTATCAAAGTTGCTTTGTGCAGACACTCTAACTTAGCATAACCCTTGTGAGAGACTTCTGTATATATATCTGGCTGATTTCGAGCATTCCCTTTCAATCTGCAGGGGTTCAGCCCTGTATGCACATAGCCCTTTGGATGTTTCTCCTGGGCATCTGAAGCCTCCCCAAGTGCCCCCTCGAAAGCATTTTTCTTTTTTTCTTTTTTTTTTTTTAAAAAAAAGTAGTGATGATTGTGCTCTCTCTAGTGGCAGAAGGCAAAGTTGTTTTATGTCACTTCAGAAGTTGTGTATGAGAGCACAAAAACTGACTTAAAGGCATAATTTAAGTGCAGGGCAAATATTTACTCCTTTTAGCCATAGCTGGAAGAAAAGAAAAAATCATTCTGTATCTGTGCCATATAAGACAAATCTGCCAGTTCTTATGACTGACTGTCCTGGGCAAGTCTTACAGGAACAATAGAGGAAGAATGCCCTTTAATGCCTATGAGATCCTGCATTTTGGTGTGTGATCCGTGTCATGACAGGTTTGGAAGGATGTTTGTTAATCTTACCAAATGCTTACGAACACCCAAGGGGGTGGCTGACTAATCAACGTTAAATAAGGGGAGCCCCTATAGTGCAGAACTGCTGGTCTGGCTGCCCTTAGGGATCCTTGCTTACCCTCTTCATGCCTGGTGAAAAGCATCTCCCACTGTGTCTTCCCGAGGGCCATGCAAGGCAAGATAAGAAACCAGGGAGCAGATGTGAAATTTCATGGTCTCCCTGCCCACGGGAGACTCCCTAGGAGGTTTTTTTGGCTGCAGAGAGTAGCCAAGGGAAGAAAAGGATGGAGGTTGAGACATTTATAAGCTGCTTGTGCTGCTGCCGAGGTAGCTCCTAACTTGTGATTTAGTAGTGAAATTATGATGTGCAATAATTTAGAATGGTCTCTCTTTCTTCTAGTCATTAATCTCCTTTCTTGAGAAGGAGAGGCAAGAAGTTTTGCTTTTGACTTGCTGGATTCTGTCCATGTTTAGGTGGCTTGAATATAGGAGATGGCTGTTTCTGCAAATGTAGAACTCTTCTAGTCTCCTTCTACCATCATTTCCATCTGTACCAGTAGCAAATCTATATACATCTTAAAATACTTGTGCATACAGAGAACTGGAATGGTCCTAGGAAGAAGCATCTCTAGGATAAAGAATAGGAAAAGCTTCAGGCAAGCATGCAAAATAGTCGAGTGTGGGGTTTTTTTATTTCATGAAACTAGATGAGCCTTAGGTTTTTCTCCCTGTCAATTCTGCCACAATGAGTCGTCTTTTTCATTTGAAAGGGATGCATAAACATTTTTAACTGTGTTGCTGAGTTAACCAGTCAAGATGAATGCTGCAGAATTTGTAACGCTGGCATCACTGGAGAAGAGTCACTACATCATAAGCTTTTTAAATACAGTTTGCAAGTACAAATTCAGTTCTGCAGTTTTTAAGCTGCTTTGAAAAGCAAGACTGGATACACAGATTCAAGTTTTGGCCTGCTTTCATACCTGCTGACTTGTACCAGCGACATGAGACAAGATGTGTGTCATCTACTAGGCAACAAAGCCTTTTTTTTTTTTTTAAGTGACTAAATAGTCCGATACTTTTGAAGTTCTTGGCACTGTGGAAAAATTATGGCACTTATTTAAGGGTTTGAATATACAATTAAGCATCTAATTTTAAACCTGCACACTCAATATAACTTTGTAGCAAAGTTCAATATTTCCTTTTTATGGTATCTGCCAACTGCTGAAGTACGCGTTAGAACATATGACATATTAATGCGTTCTAGTAGTGGAGGTACCTGATCAAGCAGCAGCCAAATGATCACAAAATAGATGTTCGAGGTGAAATCAGAGACTGCAATAAACAGAGGAAAACTGCTGGCCTTGATCATCCCTGTCTCCCATCTGACTTGAAAAACTGGACCCAGTTTGTGGAGCCCTTATAGCCTTAAGAGCCAGCGTCCCCTCTCATCGACTACCACATGCGTTATTTTCTGCAGTCTTCTTGATGCTTTTTCCTCCCTTTCTCAGAGTAATTTTTTACAGGATAGTAGTATGTTCCCATAGGTCTAAAGAAGCATATTCTCTCTTGCTCATAAATTAAAATCCAATACTTAGCTATTACTAATACACTCAAGCGTACCCGGTTATAACGAGATACAGGCCTTTCCCAATTGCTGAGTGGAGCTTTCTCCCTTGTCTTTCGGCTGATCGGAAGCAGTGAAGGTAGCTGTGTACTGTCTGTGCACGCGGAATTATTGCAGGCACTCCCCATGTACTGCAGTTGCTGGTCTTTGCTTTACGATATCGCATACCTGTCACTCACTTGCCAGATTCTGTACACTAGATGCTCATTGAGATGCCATTTGAATATAGCCCAGTTATTCCCAGTGGGGAGGTTTGTTTCAGCAGGAAAAGCGGCATTCGTGGCTCCAGCAGGTGCACAAGTGTCACCCGGTTTGTACTGATCTGTGGAACAGCAAATGTGTAATGTAAGGGACAGTCAGAAATATTACAAGACAGGCTTCTAACACCGCGAAGCTATCTCCATATTTAACATGCTGAGAAGACAAGCTAATCACAAAAGACTTGTCTGGATGTCTATGTTCCTTTGACTCCTTAGGTATTTTGTAGATGCTGATGGCCAATGTGAACTTTAAATCAATTTATTGCATATGTTTACATACGTGATAAAACCATTTGCCGTATCATTTAACTACACACAGTGAATTGTTGACCATGAGCTGATCTGACCTTTTCAGGTCTAATCAAGAAATCTGAAATATTATTTCAGCTTGTCAGCTCCAGTAATATGCAGTAAGAGTATCTGGGTCTAACTGAAAATGTCAGATGCGCTCTAATATGCAACCCATCAAAGTTACGATGCATACGAACCAAGAACTGGTTAAGAATATAAATCTGGAAGATCCGTGATGCATCTCAATTCCTTAGATAACTTGTTCTGCCATTGGTACGGGCTAGCTAAAAATATGCCTTAAAGGCAATTCTTTGGAATACATGCGAGATGTACAACCGCTTAAATATTAAAATGATCTTGAAAGAGGGGTGATAACACCAGGTTAGAATATTACTGGAAAAAACGGTGACCAGTGAGAACACCAGTGCTCTAGTTAATGTCTTGCTAGCTTCATTGTGTGGGTAATGTAAGATTAGTGGTCTCATGTAACCTCAAAATTTTTCTTTTTAATTTTAATAATTTGCTGCTTGTGAAGTTTTTACTCTTTCAAGAAAGAATCCATTATATAAGCAGAGGTGTTCTTATCAATCTTGTTTGTGTGGAATTTAGCATGAAGCATTTTTCATAGTCTTGCACTTTTTATGAAAAAGTCTACTTCTATTTTTAAAAGCTTTCTAAAAGCCAACACTGTTGTCAGTAGGTTATGGTGTTTAATGATTAATTTCTTTGTTTTCTTTGTCTCATCTTCCAAGTTTCTGTTCTTGGTATTGTGCTAGATATTCACATCTAGGATAAATCTGTCTTCAATAATTATTTATCAAGCACTAGACCAATTATTCATTGGTATAATTTCTGGATGATGAATTTAAATTCGGATTAAAGTGGATGGGCACAATGAAACTGAACTTTGTATCCTGAGAAAATGGTATTTTGTTAGCTAAAGAGTCTATCGAGACTGTTGAATCTTAAAGCAGTTGTTATACTAAAATTGAGTTGGCCTTTAATCTAATCATGGGTAGTTCGTGCAATTTGTGGCATTATTAACTGAATTGCTACTATTAGTAAAATGTTGTTGGAACTAGAATTAAAATTAACTATGGGAAGCATTGCTGAACCGATAACTTTGCATTAAAGAATAGTGCATATTTTAAACTACCCAGTTAATGCTGTTCGAACTGTTCTTGTGAGGCAATGCTGCCCTCCCCTGCTATACTGTGGAAAGTAGGGATTTCTATCCCAGTTCGAGCAAGTTCTAGGGCTACCTATTAAAGAGAAATTTCCAAATCGGTGTAAACGATGGAAAAAATGCTCTTAAAAAAACATTATGTGCCTTCTCTATTACAAGACCAAAAAAAAAAAAGTGGAACAGACATTTGTGCAGTGCTTTTATGTATGCGTGGTGCAGATGTGGATGAATGTACAAATGATATGCAGGAATACTGTGAACACACAAGACAACAAATTGAGGGCTGAATTAAGTTTGGGTGGCGATTTGGAGGATGAGTTGAAGACAAAATGAAGAGATACCAGGTAGCTGCTGAAAGTTAGCAGAACGGATTACAATAAACTTTTGTTTAACAGTATAGTTTTGCGTTGTATATAGTGTTTAGAGATTTATCATGAATGTTTACATGTTCAGTTCTGCAGCAGAAAAGTAGATGGGACCGTGGCCAACAGCTTGCACAGAAATAGGATTAGCTCTTGTGCAAATGAAGCTATAGCAAAACATCAGGTTCTGTCAGGGGCTGTTAAGTACAAAGATACCACTATGGGCTCAGGAAGTTCCTCCACTGAGAGCTGAGGAAGGTAGTCCGAGGAAATATTACTATTGCATCGCCTGTTCTTAATGTATTTATTTAAACATCTGTTATTAACTACTACTGGAGACAGAATATTGGGGTAGAAGGTTTTTTAGATTGTCCAGCTCTGACTATTGTCTTGTTAAATAAGCGTGTAACAGTTTTTTCTTTCTTCTCCATAACTTTTGCAGGTATTGGGGCTGCTGGTGTGGACCCTGATTGCTGGAACAGAATACTTTCTATATCCAGCCTTCGGCTGGGTGATGTTTGTAGCTGTGTTTTACTGGGTCCTCACCATCTTCTTTCTGATCATCTACATGACAATGACCTACACCAGGATCCCCCAGGTGCCATGGACCACGGTGGTAAATACACCCATTCTTTGTTGCTTCGGGTTTGCCGAGTTATGAAGTGAATAAAATATTGATGCGTTCTATGGGTGTAGTTAACCAACTGTACTTGTGCTTTTTGCAGATTTTTCCCTAATTACTGTGCGGCTGCATACCTGCAGTGTTTAACCTTCATACTACCCAGATACTTTTAAAACACTTTTCCTGTGATGTTTCACTGTTTTGTTCAGCAGTTGGTGTAGTGACTTGATTTTTAATAATGTGCGTGTGACTGATACTTATGCACAGTGGCCTCTTTTTCTCCCTGTAGTGATGACATCCCATGAAGAATGAGTCTGTTGCTGCCTCTGAGCTAACAGACCTGGCCATATGGCTTAAACAGCAGAAATCCCTACTTGAATCAACATCATCAATTGGAAGTGGGACCCTGGCTCTTAAAACATGAGTCTTCCTCTGCTAAAATAAAAGCAAAGGTGATTCAGAGGTAGCAACAGTCTGACAATCCTTACGTGGCCTACTGAGAAAATGGTGCGGAAAATTAGTGTTATATATATGTAAAATATGTGCCATGTAATCCTTTGCTTTTAGCTCAAGACTTAATGCAAATCAGATAAACAGCTAATGTAATTACAGAAAAAATTCCCAGGCACTTAAAATTCAGATCCAGGTTTTGTGGTTTGAACAGACCTGGCTAGCTGTACCTCTCCACAGTATATTTTTACATGATTTTCATAACAGGCTGGTGTTCAGGGTAATAGATCCTAAAAGTCATTGTCACCTCAGCCAACTGGCTATTTGTGACCCATCCAAGAATTATTATAAATTTTAGCTTTGCATTTGTCTGATACAGTGAGATGCTGCTGTTTGGGTTTTTTTTCCACGAGCTAAAGATTATTGACTAGACTTCTGTTATTTGTATGATAAAATATATCTGACTTCTGTGTTGCAAACAGCTTGTTACCAGCTATATTGTGTACGTGACTAAAATTGAATACTCTTTTCTTTTAGTCTTCCCATTTGCTGCTGTTATAAATAGCCAGCTATAGCAATTACTAATAAGAACAACCAGGATTATGTTCGGATAGCTTCTCTGTTTTCAAGTTTCATGACCAGCAATTACCATTAAGGCTGTAACATTGCTATAGAAATGTCGGAGTATTTCCATCGCAGCAGTAATGTGTCTGGGTACATTTAAAGGGGGGGGGGAGTGGTGTTTTTTTTTCCCATTGCATTAGATGTAAGTAAAGTACATTCAAAGGGAAAGCATCTTTATAGCCATTTGGATACAGCTTTAGTCATTACCCCTCTTTCATCAGTTTAATGCTGTTACCAGACAACAGCTACACGTAAATGAGTTGCCCCTGATCTTTGTGGTAGACAAGCTGGAATATTTGATTTGTTTCTACTTCATATTGCTCTGAGTTCCAAACATATTGTAGATAAGATCACGTAATTGTAGGTCCAAAATGTAGTCTCCTTTTATAGTAAAGGGTAATATGAAGAGGAGAATAAATGCAAAAGAAATAAAAGATGCTTTCATTCCAGCTTGTTTTCCCCTAAGGTATTAAAAGAGCTGTTGAGAACAGCCTTTGAATTGGACCTCTGCCACTCCTGGCTGGCCAAGAGGAATGTTGGGTCTCTTTTCAGAGAGGTGTTGTTAATGTCTTCATTCAAGAGAGCATGACATACACCTTTTTGAGTGAGTTTACGCCCACCTTCCCCCTATTCTCTGAAGTATCCTGAATTTCAGTCTCTGCTAGTTACTGCTTTGCCTCCTTAGGCGAGACTTAGCTCAAACTGTGCCTATTGTATGCAGTATCCAAAATTACATCTGGACTTCTCTGTCATAAATTCACTTTTTGCAAGTTAAGCACATTACCAAATTGCTTAAGACGCAGTTACTTTTACTGCAAATTAACCCAAAGGATGTGCTTCAAAACTGACTCTCCTTGATAGTGCAAGTTCTTTGCTAAAACAATCAATGGAAGCTTTTAAAATCTGGTAAATTTGAATTTAAGAAGCAGATGGTAATTTAGCATGAACCATTTGGTTTGAGTAATATATTGGCAGTAAAGGCCCAATCAGCTTGCATTGCATTCCATCTTCCCCAACAGTGTTATTTCCCAGAGCAGCGCTTCTTAAAAATTATGTGCTTTTTTCTTTTCGACATGACAAGATATTGCAGGGATTTGTAGCTTTCCAGGGTAATTGAGTCTCTTTGGAACAGGAAATCTAAAAATAACAACAACAAATACTCTAGGCAATCAAATTTGGAGTTTGAGAATCAGTGCTTTACAGAAGTTCACCTGAACCTGCCAATTCTTATCCTAAAATTGACAGTTTGATTATTTTATTACTGTAATGCCCAGATAAAACAAGAGAGGTGAGGTGTGTGGATGGAGATAATGCCTTTTATTAGATCAACTGATATAGATGAGATAAATCTCACTCATTTATAAGTGTATGAATCAAACCGCAAGTGCCAGGCCTTGGACTCCATCCAAGTGCTGAGGCAGTGCCCACAGTTCCCTGCAGAAAGGTGGGTAAGTGGCTCTTTTCCAAACGCCCTGAAGTTGCAAGGACTTAGGCACCACAGGAGGACATGGATGCCCTTCAGCTTGCTCTGAAAAATGTAAGAAGGCTTTTTGCTTGAGAAGCCTCATATAGGTAGTGATGACCTGAAGACTGACATGTTGACAGATGACAGCACAGCATGCTGCTCTCTGGAGGGGCCTGCAGTTGAGAAAGCTTGTGTTTGGGGAACGGCTTCCCTTTCAGAAAGTTTTGAACCCTGTGTGTCACGGGAGCGTGCAGCAGTGGGCCAGACCCTACCGAGCCTGAGGTAAACTCTGCCAGAACCAAATGTCCTGGAGATGGATGTGAGAACTTCCATACCAACCACTTCAAGCTGTTGATCCACACTTCGGCGCACTGAGGGAATTGCTGATGTGGCTACAGCTGTTGTCACTGCCTTCTGAACTTCTCTTCTTGGGCTGCAGCTCTTTTTTTAAATTCTGCCAGAGTTGGTGACTAGTGAATTCAGTAGTGAATAATTGGCATATATTCCTAGTATCCACTGAGACACACCATGGAAATTAGTAAGTTGGAGCTGCATCGGCATGGCAACATTTAGAGACAACTTGGGTGACAGAGTTAAGGGTTATGATATTTGTGTGGCACGCTGGAGTGCAAACATGGGGCCAGAAGCTGAAGGGAGTAGATCATGTACAGCGTTAGGACCCAATGGTCTAAACTGAGTTACCAAT